AATTGGAGAATTTTGAATTCTTTTTGTTCGGGATACGTTGGACTGGGATTTTATTTTTTGGTTAAAAATAAGTCATAAAAAATCTCTGTTTTTTCTCTCTCCTTGTAGATCTTGGAGTGTAGTAGCTTTTGTCTGTTACTGATCTTTGTTGTTATCTGGATGTATGTATGTTACACAGTACAGTCGGTGACCTAAGATTTGAAGTTAGAAAGTAAGACAAAAGTAAGGTTCTTAGAGATGTGCCTTTCAAACTGTAAGATTTAATTGATTTCAATTTTGAGAAAGAATGGTTAGTGATTCAAAAGCTAGAAAAAAAGAGCTGTAGGTTTAGAGAAAGAGAACCCATTATTGATACTGTCTTTTCTTCTAAAGTTCATAAAGAAAAGCCTTAACTTCCCTTTTCTGTACGTTTAAAGAAGTGGGCTTGGAGAAAGGAAACTGTGTTTACAGTCATTTTATTTCACTTTCAATTTTGATTGTGTTTACAGAGTTAGCAGAAAATCCCGCACGAAGTGTTGAGGAGACACCAGGAACAGGGGGTTTAAATGGAAGCTGCAGCAGCAGCAGCAGCTCAAGCAGTGTTGGAACTACCAGTAGCAATGTGTTTGCAAGCTTATTTGCTTCTTCAACTGTATCGGGAAGCTTACAACCTCCTCAAACTCATGCATTCAGCGACTTACTTAGAGTCACGGCACGTCCAGAACTCCCATCTGACCTGACTCTATCAGCAAATGACCCAATTTCACTGTGCCTCTCAACCACTCATGGTTCTTCAGTGTTTGGAAATGCGGGACAAGAGCGGAGGCAATGCACACTGGCATCACAGCCTGCTCTGTCGGCCACTGCCCTGCTTCAAAAAGCTGCACAAATGGGCGCAACAACTAGTAATACTTCATTGCTTCGTGGTTTAGGAATTGTTTCATCATCTACTCAGCACGACAATATACAATGGAGTCAGGGGCTAGGAGATTCTGAGAATGCATCTATTGCAGCAGGGCTTGGACTTGGGCTGCCTAGTGATGGAGGTTCTGGATTGAAGGAGTTAATGATGGGAACACCTTCCGGCTTTGGTCCTAAGCAGCCTACTCTTGATTTCCTTGGTTTGGGGATGGCGGCTGGTGGATCATCCCCCAATAGTGCTATATCATCTCTGGTTCCATCAATTAGTGGTGGTGTGGATGTGGCACCGGCCTCATCCTCATCTTATGGAGGAGGAGAATATTCTAGCAAAGAAATGGGAAGTGGTGGCTCATGAATATAATGCTGGATTAAAATAAAAAGTAATGCATATCTCAATTGTGATGGAGAAGTTGTGTAAATTGTGTAGGCGTACTATTGGGGGGGTTGCAGAGAAGAAAACAATGGTAAGCAACAAGCCATTAATGGCAGTTGGGTCTTTTTTTGTTGTTCTGCTGCTTCTTATGGCATGGAAAATAAGCAGGATGGTGTTGGCCTGTTGGGTGTGTTTAGACTTTTGTAGCAAAGCTTAAACACTGCAGACCCCCCCTAAGTTATTGTATACTTGTGCTGTGATACTACAAGATAAGTAAGATTTTGATCAAGCAATAGGTCTTGTCTTGTGCTAGGCCATTTGGTTTTGATTGAATTCGTTGTAGTAGGTTTTACAAGTCTGAAAAATCACAGAAATTAACCAGACGGCGGCCGTTGTCTGTGTAGCATTAGGCATTAATGAATATGTAGTTGTGAAGATTAAGGTTGACCACAACCTTGTATCTGTTATTATATTCGTCATCTTTTTCAACTGAATGGAATATGTATTATACTTACCTTCCTCTTCTTGTTGTTGAAAAATATTTTCATGATTAGACCTCCTGATACTTCATTTGTCCAGTAGTAGATATTATTAGTTTCATACTTACCCAAACGCCAAATCCTGCGTTCTATATTATATACAGTAACTTAGAAGATGAAGGCTGAGAATAAATAATAGAATAATATGATGAAACAAAATTAGTCAACAGATTCCTTTAGTATAAGAATGTGAATGAATTAATTTTCCAACATGAGGTCAACAAATTTACACTTTCTTGCTCAGCTATAACTCTAATAAAACATTCGTTTAAACTAAACCATCTCTTTAATGAAGATGCTGACATTGTAAAAACTCTTTCCTAACATAGTGGTTTTAAGTTGGTATTTCAAATCACGGGGTACTAATTAAGGAGGTTAATTAATCGATATATTTTTATTTTTTGAAATTGACTATACCCTTTATAATTAATCAACCACATCTCTAACATTTCATAAATTGATGTAGTTTTTGGTAATCCTTTTTTTTTTTTAATCATAAACAGGAAGTTTAATGAAAAAAAAATATATAATTAATTTCATAAAAGACAAATTAATTAATTGATATCATCCCTATCAGTATTAATTATGATTTTTGTCTTATTTATATCACAGGATATTATTAATGAATTAAATATCATATCATTTAGTTGAACAAATTACTAAATTAGAATACAAGCTATAAAACTTATTATTAATTGAAAAAGATAACCTTATTGCTATGAATTATGTAAATTATTGAATAGTGGGTGATGGTGAAACACAAAGTTTTCCTTTTCAATTGCTTAGAGAATAGCAGACATCCGCAATCTAGTTCTAAAAGATTTGATAAATCTCACTTTCACATTTCATGGGTTACAGCGCAGAAGCCAATAACTCATTTCGCGAAATTTTATCATTCCTGTTGTTTATACATATTAGCTTTGTCATTTTTTACTATACCACGTGGTAGGTGATTTAAGAGAGCCTTTTGATTATATTATTAAAAATTTTTGAGTTCGATTCATCCTCAGTTGTTAATAGGGTAGTTACTAAACTCTTATCTGACTAATAATTCTAAGATCTTGAAATTTAGTTGAGGTTTGTATAAATTGACTCGATTATAAAAAAAAAATAAAAAAACTTGCTAGTTTCCTCAAGGTTTTATCTCTAAGTATTCTACCCAATCAATAATAATAAATTTTGAACTTTTATTTATAATAAAACTATTTATTCCTTTTATGATCCATATAGAGTGGGGAGGTTGCGTTTGTCTCCCCTCATCCTTGTTTGCTTTTCATGTGAAAAATGATATTTCTTTCTCTGTTTTCATTTATTTTAGTTTTGATTTGGATAAGAAGAAGTATTGCAGTTTGATTGATTGGGGTCATTATTATTGGTTCAGAGATGGAGTGGACACTAAGAGACAAAGAAGAAAGAAGAACCTTCACTCGCACTGCCATTGGTGATGTAAACCTTCACTAATCTTTTGAAGTTGATAATATTATCTTAGTTAACAATTGAGATGATAGAATTTAAATTCTTTTAAATAATACATGCAAAAATTCTAATTAAACGTTAAACTATTTCAATTTCAATATTAACCAACCTATAATAAGTACTTTTTTTTAATTACTGTATAATTAAATGGCGAGCGTTGGTAGCGTAAAAAAAGTGAGACAGGAGGTGTTTAAGAAGAAACGGATAATAAAGGGGGTTTGAATTGATAGAGATGAAAGAACGTCGCCATCAGAGCGTGTCTTTTGGTGATTGTCGTTTTGCAGTTTCCGATGCCTGCAAGCAATATTTTGCTGCCACCTTACGTCGTGGCTTGTCTTTTTCTTCTAGGCCACGTTTCTTTGTCTGCCTGTTTAAAGTATAATTTTAATATTTTAATTCTTTATTACTGTTGTAGTGAGTTTTGATGTCCCTCAAGGTCAAGGGTTTTTTTTCCCACAAAAATATAAAGGTCAGCTGTTATGTCAAATCTCGAAAGACTGCTACACAAACCGTTTCAGTCTTTCAGATCATGAGTATTTTTTGGAATAAATAATATTTGAAATATTAAAAACTTTTGTTTTAAAGTGTAATTGCTTGATGGAATAGTGGGCATAGATGCAGAACAGCTAAGCCAATCAATCTTGGCAATAAATTCTTTCTCGAGTAATCCATTTTCCCACCCAAGGTTTACCTTAATTACCTTTCCACCCAAAAGGTTTGAAAACACCATTTTTCCACCCAAAGTTTATATTTTGTTTACTATCTAGAATACACTTTTCGATTCGGTAGCCAACGGAGAGAAAAATTGGTCCAGGTTGTTAGAGTTTTTGAAGGGGGGATGCCAGTAAATCTTTTGATGGTGGTAGATTAAATTTTGATGGTTAGGATTGGTCGAAATCTTACTTGGGAGAGACGGTTACATGTTATACAAGGTTTGAAGAGTTTTGGTGAGTGGTAATTGGGAAAGAGAATGGTGTTGATAGAGGTCGCAAAGATGCCGAAATCGACTGGTGATTGGTCAGAATATAAACTTTGGGCGGAAAAGTGGTATTTTAAAATATTTTGGGTGGGAAAATTTATTTACTCATTGTTTCTCTATAAATTATGAGACTGCCAGCTGCACCGCATATTGATTTAATTGGCGCTTGGCAGGCCAGTAATGAACTTCATGATTCTCCTCCGACCTTAACAAAAATTTAAAGTTATCTGTTATAATATATTTCTCTTTCTATTGAATGATATAAGATGTCAGATGTGTGTTCCATCAGCGTTTCTATAACGGGTCTCAATTCCTCGTCCACTTGGTATGTGCTAACGTAAATTTGGTTACAAATCTATGTAATTTCTTCACATCCATCATCCATGTACAAATTTTTCCAAGTCGAAAACATTGTCCTAAAGCAAGTGTCGGCTTTTGTAAATAGACACTATATTAGGTTGAGTTGGTCAGATCTCCAACTATTAAACTACAAAATGATGATTCCCAAAACCCTCAATTCTCCAAACTTTTTAGTGCATAAAAATGACAGAAAACCAAACATAAAATCTTTTGTGCTTGGATACATACATTAATCTTGTCCGCTACACTGTATTAGGAACGTTCATTTGCAGATTCTCTCAACTAATAATATGGAATTTAGTGAGATGGGTTCTGGTATAAATTGCTCAATTTTATTCCTACTACGTGCATGAACATGTTGAAATATCTGATCATGAGTAGAAAGTGCAAGTTCTTCGTGTTCTTTCTCTTATTCATCATTAATGGAGCTCTTCTTGATGCTTGGCCCAATGCCAGTAATAAAAGATATTATGATTTTAAGGTGGTTTTGCGCATAAGAGATAAAAGATTCCCTTTTTTTATTTATTCTAATCATTCCTAGGAGTGATAAATTGAATGTCAAAGTCTTATCTATTTCCAAAGTCTAAATAATGATTGAAATTTCAGGTTCAAACAACTTCTATAACAAAACTGTGCAAAACATCAACTATTGTCACAGTGAATGGAATGTACCCAGGTCCAACCATCTATGCTCGGGAAGATAACAGGGTGATTGTAAAAGTCACAAATCTTACACCCTACAATCTGTCAATCCATTGGTAATTAATTAGCAAAAATCGTTGAATTAATCCTTCAATTTTAAACTCCTCTTTCATGTTATTAAGTTGGGATTAATTCTCAATACAGGCATGGAGTTCGACAAAGACTAACTTGTTGGTTCGATGGTCCTGCCTACATAACTCAGTGTCCAATTCAAGCAGGTCAAAGTTTCACGTACAAGTTCACGTTGCTCAACCAACGTGGAACACTATTTTGGCATGCCCACATATCCTGGCTCAGAGCAACCGTTCATGGCCCCCTTATCATCTACCCAAAGCAAGGGGGCAGCTATCCTTTTCAAACCCCCTTCCAGGAGCACGTAATTGTTCTTGGTATTCACAACTTGTACTTCCAGGAGCTTTATTATTTCAAGTTTGTTAAGCTTGTAAGTTTGTATCTAAGATTGTACATATTGGTGTCTTTATTGTGAACAGGAGAGTACTGGCTTCAGGACATCCAAGAATTGGAGAAGCATGTGAAAGATTCAGGGGGAGGTCCACCAGGTTCAGATGCATACATTTTTAATGGTCATCCTGGTCCACTTCATAACTGTTCTAAAAGTGGTAAACTTCTAATCACTTACAACTAATTAATGTTTCCAGCACCTTCTAGTTCGAGATGATATTGAATGGAAATCCTTTAATTTAATCTTGTGCAGATGTGTACAGTGTCGATGTTACTAAAAGGAAGACATATCTTTTAAGAATAATCAATACGGCTCTGAACATGGAACACTTTTTTGGTGTGGCTAACCATAGCATGACTGTTGTTGAAGCAGATGGAGAGTACACAAAGCCCTTCAATACCTCGTTTCTAATGCTAACTCCAGGCCAAACTTAAAATGTTTTAATTACTGCAGATCAGCCCAATGGAAAATACTACATGGCTATGGCCCCTTATATGCCAGCCAAAAGGGTCCCATTCTTGAATAAAACGTCCTTTGCAATTCTCAATTATATTGAATCTTCGAAGTTAGATTCGTTATCCCCAATAGAATCAAATATGTCAGTCAAAAAATCTTCTCCCGAAAGGTCATTGGTACCTTACAAGCCCATCTTGCCTTGTGTGAGTGACTCTGACTCTGTCCAAGCATTCACAGGCCAGATTAGAAGTTTACACCCAAATGAACATTGGTCACCAATTGATGTTCCTTTGAAAATTGACAAAAGCTTGTTCTTTGCAATTGGGCTGAATGTGTTTAGTTGCAGCTCCTCGGATCCTGACAAATGTCAAGGGCCCAATGGGGGAGTTTTTGCGGCTTCAGTTAATAACATAACATTTAAAAGACCAATGGTTTCTCTGTTGAATGCATACTACAATAATTTAGAAGGGTATTACACTGCTGATTTCCCTGATAAACCTGAAAAAATGTATGATTTTGTGAATGAGGCTCCAAATAATATTGGTGTGGATACACAGCCTGTTATTGGTACTCAAGTGAGTGTGCTGGAGTATGGATGGACTGTCCAAGTCATATTTCAAGACACTGGCACTATAGGAACAGAAAACCATCCAATACATTTACATGGCTTTAGCTTCTATCTTTTGGTCTCAGGGATTGGGAATTTTAATTCCACCACTGCGGCTCTTAATTTGTATGATCCTCCTTACAGAAACACAGTTGGTGTGCCAGCGGCTGGATGGGCCGTCATCCGGTTCAGAGCTGACAATCCTGGTACTTAACTAACTTTCTGTGCTAAGAACTTCACTATTTCATTGCTTAATCTGATCATAACTGTTGATACGAAGCTACTGATATATATATATATATATTAGAATGCTTATATAGGTTATATAAATGCTTGCTAAATATGCATTGCAATTGTATTTTAAGATGCCTCAAATTGTGCTTTAATTGCTTAACAGGAGTATGGTTCATGCACTGCCATCTAGAGGTGCATACAACTTGGGGACTTTCTATGGCTTTTCTAGTGAAAGATGGCAAAGGTAAAATGCAAACTTTGCCACCGCCACCTCCTGATCATCCATTTTGTTAGATGAATTCCAGTGGCAAATCTCTGCTTGCCCTTTTCTACAATTTCTACTCTTTTACATGTATGTAATATTATAGTTCTTGATTGCTGTGTATTTGGTCATTTGCAAGTTCTAGCGCTGTGAATAGAAGATGCATTATTATTTGTAACAAAGATCTCAGAAGTGTGGACTCTGGTGATTTGAAGTTGTGTTTCTTGCTTTGCATCTTACTCTAGTAAAAAATATGAAACGTTAGGGTGTAAGCAAATTTCTCGATACTTTGCTCAATCCATCGTGTTGATATTATATTAGTTTTTAGAGAAATGCTAGATGTAAATATAGTCTTTGTACAAGTGATGTGACAGTTTTTATACCACTAGTTTGTGAAAAAAAATAGAAGATTGATGTGAAAATAGTGGTGTGACAGCTGTCACATCACTATGTACAAAGAATCTTTGTAAAAATCTTTGTATCTCTAGCATTTTCCTAGTTTTTATGGGAAGAATGACAATTTTCCACCCAAACTAAGGCCTAAGTAAGTATTCTTACCCAGAATGTTTCACACCCACTGTTAAAATTCAGACGTTAGTTTTAACGGCAAAAGGTTGTTCTTGTCATTTTGCACAACATATATTATAGGTTTAATATTTCTTACACTCATAAATTACAAACACATAACAATTACCTTCGTTAACTAGGGAATTAGCTATTTAAACCCCTATCTTTGATTTCATTTTCTTTTAGCCATTGACTCAAACAAGTTTTAACCATTTAATAGACCAGATTAAGGATCGGTTCTTGGTCGGATTGGCTGATCTGATCTAAGTTTTAAAACCACGGATTAATCATTGAAGTGGATCTTTCGAGTCCAAGTTTCGTAGCACTCTTACTAAATTTCTATCCAACCCAATTTTAGCCCTTTTACTATAATACCTGTAATAATAAAATCTTAATGCGCAATGATTAGCTCCATTTAAAATAACAATAAGAATCGTATCCTTGACCATTCAATTTTATTTATTTTCTAGATAATATTCTTCAATTGACAAAGCTTTTACAACCCAAAAACCTAAGAAGATATTTGTCTAAGTTTATAAATTAGTCAAACTAGTTTAAAAGTTCTAAAATTAAGTTGACCTGTTTATTTATAACTTTTTTGAACTTATAAGTTGAGCTTATAAGCCAAAAAAAATAAGTTGGGGGAAAGTATTTTTTTTTTTTTTACTTATAAGCACTCTGCTTATAAACTAGTTTGACCAAGTATATTACCACCTTATCCTTATTTAATTTTAAAATTCCATAGTATACCCTTATTTAAGGTAGTATCCTTTTTAGCCATTTTATAATAAAATGTACTTATAAATCATATTTTACCAAACACGTCAACTATTTATCAGTTACTTATAAGTACTTTAACCAAACACGTAATTGCTCAAAATTTCAAATGCTTATAAGCCAAAATTAGCTTATAAGCACTTGCTACTTATAAGCTCATTTTTATAAACTCAGACAAACACCTCATAAGTTTGTTCTATGTATAAATAAATAGTTGGTCAAAATAGTTAATTGGCATTACCCATATTTAGCAAGATACACAGACACAAAAAAGATTTTAGCTTACTAAAAACTAATAAATACTACGTATTTATGATCAATATTGTTGACACCAAAAAATACACCAACTTGAGTAATTCGATTGACCGTGACGGAATCAAAATGGATGTACGTGTGATTAATAAAAAAGAACGTGAGTCAAGCAAAAGAAAGTGAAAATGACCCAAGAAGTTTTCAAGTGATTCAACGAGTTATTCCTCAAACCTACGTCCACTGTTTTCTATTGTTTTTCTTTGATTGGGTAAATAATACAATCTCTCTTCTCCCAAATAATTCTCAACCCCCTTACACTGTTTTTTTGGGTATTTATACAAGAATTTCTATAAAGGTAAGTGAGATAAATTTGGGATTGTGATCATATTTGATGTATATCCCATGTGCAACAAAATCGAGCAAATGTATATAGGCATTATCTATTTCGAGATATCAGGAGATAGAGCTTATCTTTTGACCTGTCGGACAACTATTAAGTAGGTCATGTTGAGCTTTATTTTGATCGAACTCTATCTTCTTGCGAACTTTCGATCGCAACAAGCTTTGTGTTGTACGAGCTATCGACATCTCTGAGTTTATAGCAAATTCACGCACAACAAATATACACTTTTCTATCAATAATAATCTTTAATTAAAATGAATAAAAAAAATCAAATATTTAGATACTTAAGTATAATAATACATAGGAGGATATGAAACTTTATATCTGCAATTTCGAATTCAGATATATAATGAAATATAACATTTTTTAGTTTCTATAAATCTGCGTAGCACTTCTTAGAAAATGTAATCTAAAAAATCCCCCGGCTGAACATATGATAACCATTTCTCATGGTGTACAATATTTCTCCTTTGATTGGCTGAGACTAATTACAAATGAAATTAATTCACTATAGATAATTGACGTCACGTGCGTGCCTGTATTTTAAAGTACAACAATCCGTTTCATTCATTATTATGATATTTTTTAAAATAATATTTTAAAAAAAAAAAAGTAAAATTAGATTATATTTACGAAAAAGATAATTATTAATATTTTATAAGATGAATAAAATATAATAAAATTTTAAAAATATTAAAATAAATACATTTTTTAGTTTTAACTTTATTAAGAAAACTAGAATAATATTTAAAATAGTGTACTGCATGAAGCCTAAGGACTCCCAAATAACAACAACAAACGGTGTTTAACCTAGCTTAGAAGGGGCACTTTAGTCCGAGAATCTACGAGTCCATACTTTGCTGGAGCATTGGCTCACCCATCCCATTTATCACATGTTGTACTTGTGGTTCGGGTTTTTGTCTTTTTGATTCTTGTAATAAGTGAAACTTACGCGAGCTTTATTTTTGAAAGCTCCGTTGATAATCAATTCCAATTTAATTAACTTATATTTGGAGCTTCAATCCATCGTTTTCCCCTCCACATCGAAATCACAAACTTTACTGGTTTTTCTTTATCAATCAATTACAGTCTAAAAACCCGCTCAAAGTAAAGAGGTACCATTTTTAATATTTTTATTGTTCTATGCTTTTACTTCTATCTTTTTTTTTTTTTTTTTTTTAAATAATTAAATCTGCTAATTAATTGGTTTCTTTATATTTTCGTTTCTGTGTTTGGATAATTTTTTTTTGGGATTTATATATTTCCGATAGCAAGTTGTTAAAAGTTTACAACTTGAAATTGACAGGTGTTTTGGTTGTTGATGCGTCGAAAGTGATGAAATTTAGTCTGTTAAATGCTATTGAAGGTTGGATATTCTTTGAGAGTATAATTGAATCAAAGGTATTTTGTGTTAGGGCCTAAAATGCCAGCTGCTGCTCTAACGAAACTGAACCCTACTGTTTGTTCTGGCTTTACGAGAGTTTGTAATTCGACAAGGTTTTTCGGACAAGGAAAACTCTTGTTGGGGAAATCTAGGTCATCTGAGTTTTTGCCATATTCAATTCGGTTGTTATCTGAGACCTCGGGGTTTAATTTAAGTGGGCCTTGTGAGAGGAGTTCTATGGCTGCTTCTGGTACTAAAGCTGTTTTTGGAGATGTTTACATTGATGATTTAGTTTCATGTTGTAGTAATGGCTTAGACTTCACAAAACCTAGTAGTGTTTATTTCAATGACAGAAGTCAGAACCGATGTCGAAAAGCTAGTGTGAGTTTGAGAAAACAGGAATTACCAAGGAATGGGCTTCTTTGTGGGTATTTTGTTTTTGATTCTGTGAGAAAGACTTGGAACTCTAATATTCTTGTTGGCCCATGGTTGAAAAATATTCACACCTCCTCTTCTGTGTGCTTTTCTGCTGGGGCTGCTCATGATGTGTCATTTGATGGAGGTTCTCATGATGAACAGCTTGGGAGTTCCTCTATTGCATCTGACGAGTATGTGCTCTCATCTCTTGTTTATTTTGGTTATATTTTATTTGTTGCTTTGTCATTAGTTTTACCTTAGAATACCCATTGCATTTTTTTTGTGCTCACTGGACAGCAATTGATAACGAGGTGCCTTAGTGCTCTTATTGAACTTCTCTTTTTGCAAAATTTGCTAAAACTTCCCTTAGGTTTTAGTTATTGCAGAAATAGGCTCGGCAGCACTAGAACAAGTAGGTTCTGTCTCACGATAACAGACTTTACTTCTGTAATTGCCCTATGACTTTCCATACTCCCTGTCTTATGCTATCTTCTGCTTGGCATTTGCTTTAGAACTATTCTAGGAGAGAGACACTTGAAGCTACTTTCAGGATCATGTTACTTGCCACATCCTGCTAAAGAAGAAACAGGTGGAGAGGATGCTCACTTTATTTGTGTAGATGAGCAAGCCATTGGTGTAGCAGATGGTGTAGGGGGATGGGCAGATGTTGGTGTTGATTCAGGAGAATTCGCCCGTGAACTTATGTCGCATTCAGTGACGGCGGTTCAAGATGAGCCCAAGGGTGAAATTGATGCTGCAAGGGTGTTGGAGAAGGCCCACTCAAGCACGAAAGCCAAGGGTTCATCAACAGCCTGCATCATTGCCCTTACAAGCAAGGTAATTTTTTAAATTAATTTCTCTAGCAATTCATGGCCATCCCTTTTCTTATTAGTACCAACTTTTGATTATAGCCCTTGATAATAAGTGTTTGAGAAACATATGGTTTAGGTAATAGAATATAAAATCTTACTTCTGTTTTTGTTAGTGATGATTGTTTTTGGCCGCTATCTTTGAGAAAAGGTACTATAATTATTTTGTTCATTTTCAGTGTTTGGTTCTTAATCGTTGTGATTTCTGTCTGAAAAACTTGAGAATGATTTGAAACATCATCTGATTACAACAATTTTGGTGAATGGAAGTGTTGTGGCTAATGTACTATTCTTTGTGTCAACAAAATTTGTGTTATTTTGGTGTCAATCTCCAACATTATGACAACTTTTAGAGTTTTTGTGGGCATTTCTTTTGTAGATTGAGGAAAAATTGTTTTATCCATTTAAGTGATTAGGAGCCTTAATTTCTAATCCTGTGTTGGAAGTGGAGATTTTCCTTTTCCTGTAACAGCAATCCTTAGGGCATCAAACATCTACTGAACCAGATAAGGTCAGTAAAATGTACCTGAACTAAATAAGGTCAGTCAAATTTACTTTAGAATTGAGTTTTAGTTTGAAGATGCTTAAAGATTCTGACTAAGTTTGGTTGTACGCTTAACATTTGGTTCTATATCTACATGTTGGTTGCTTAGAAGCAATGTCCACTTATAGTTTATCCCTTGTCTCTGCATCAAGGCCTAAAAATTTCTCAGGATAATTCCCATGTTGGATACTTTGCGTTCCATAGTATAAAGAAAGCAAATTTTATCACGTTCTACCATATGGTTTATTTTATTTATTTTTTTGTCTTCTTTTAACAGGGAATACATGCAATTAATCTGGGAGATAGTGGATTCATTGTGGTTAGAGATGGATGTACTATCTTCCAGTCTCCAGTGCAGCAGCATGGCTTCAAATTTACATATCAACTAGAGAGTGGCAATACTGGTGATCTACCCAGCTCTGGTCAGGTTAGTTTACTCATTCATACTTCACACTAGCTACAATGTGAATTTGTGCAATAGTTTTCTTACTTTTGCTCTTTTCATTTGGACCATTCTGCACCTGTGCATGTGAAAGAATTTTTTGGCTTATTTCTGGTCCTGTTTACTTCATACATTAGCCAATCTCAAATAATTGGTAGTTTGTGTACTGTTACATTGCAATTTGCTTATTATTAATGGAATTTAAGAATTGAAGTTAGGGCTATTATCATAAATGAACTAAAGAGAGGCATAAGTTATGAAACCTTCAAAAATGACACTTAGTTGCTGTAAGATTTAACCAAAAAAAAAAGTGATTTAGCTTAATGAAAAGACTTAAATACCTCTAACTGATGATTGACTTTTGTGCATGTGAGAAATTTGGCATAAATACTCCAAAACTTAACCTGAAATGCCCAAAACGTGTTATCTTAAAAAACCCAAATGAATGTTCAAATATCAAATATGGTTGTCTCCTTAAACAAACATAACCAGTTGGAAGAGAAAACTTCCATAGCCATTAACACACCTGTTTTGTAGACACAATTTTATGGAGCCATGAAAGTAAATTCCAAACACCAAGATATGAAGTTCATCACTTGGTTAATCAAACTCGATGGGCAATTGACACCGTTTTACAATCCATGCCACGACATTCATGAAAAGTTCATTACTGCAAGTTTCAATTCCCTTTAAATTTAACATTTGTAAAAATCATTATTGCCAGTTTTAGTTCCACCTTTAAATTTAAGGTTTGTAACGTGACCATTAAAACAAGAATTTAAGTCTGCTTTGTTCTTTTAGTTTTCAGTTTAGATTTACCTAGTATCAACATTCACTATCCAACACCACCCATTCCGCCAACTCCTCATCCCAATCCACAAATTTCAGCATCACAAACACTATGAATATGATGAATTAATACACAAACAAAATCTAAATGCACAAAGAATCATTGCACTTGATTTGGGTAACACTCCTGATAAAAAACAAGTATAATAAAATAAAGAACTATCAAATTATCCACAACAAAAAAATTCCAATAAGAACTTTGAAATTGGCATCATCACACTATTGACATAGCATGATTTCCCAAAATTCATTTGATGGAGTAGCAATGAATAAGATAGATAGTATATAAATGAAGGAGATTTAAAAATAGAGAGAATAAAGAAGGATAAATCAAAGGGAGAACAAACAAGAAAGGAGTAGAAAAGAACTAGAACAAGATAGAAGATATAGAATTAGTTTCTTCATTTTCCTCCCTTTCTTGTTGTTCTCCCTAGTCTATCCTCTAGTTCCTATCTAATTTCTCTCTCTCTCTATCTTATTCTTCTCCACCTCTATCAGGATGGGGAGATTTCTCAAGTATCCATCTATCTTATTCTTCTCCACTTCTATCAAAATGGAGAGAAGAATAAGAACAAGATAAATTATTTGATAGAGTAGAAAAGAACTAGAACAAGATAGATTACTTGATGCAGCAGAATAAGATGGGGAAAATAGCAAGAAAAGAACAAGATAGATTATTTGATAGAGCAGAATAAGATGGGAAGAATAGTAAGAAAGAACAAGGTAGATTATTTGATATAGCAGAATAAGATTGGAAGAATAGCAAGAGAGCACGAGAGATAGATTATTTGATAGAGTAGTAGAAAAGAACTAGAACAAGATAATTATATGATAGAGCATAATAGATAGGAAGAATAGCAAGAATCTGGAGAAATCAAGAAGAACTAAGAGAGGAAGAAACAATCCATATGTAGAAAACCAATATCTTTATTAAATCAATAATCAGGCCTTAAAACAATAATGAGAGAAGCCTTCATTTGTAGGCTTAAAAAACTAAATTCTAATCAAAATATAATTTTAATAATCCTAATAACAATTAAACAATGAAATATGAAATATTCTAATCCTAATTAAACAAAGAAACAATGAAATAAAAGACTCAAACAAAATAGAGTTCCAAAATACTAATCCTTAATACAAACCTATTTTCCTACATCACTTTTTATTTGCAAAGTTTCTTAAATACCCTGCATATAATTAAGTCTTAACAGTATTGACCGTTAAATGTAGGTTTCAGAAGGTTTTGGAACATCTGTCTCTTTTTAATTTACTTTTGAAAATATGGTAACCCAAATGCTGATAGCCCCTACAGTTAACTTAAAAACAATTAGACTTTTTTTCCTGCAGATATCTCTTTTAACAGTTCCTGCCATTGATTATAGAAGAGATTTTTTTTTCCCTAACCCTCTTGTTGCTGCATATATTGGTTTATGACCAATGGTTTTACCTTATGCATCACTTCGCAATGTCCAAGATTTTCTCCACCTCAACTTTCAGTAGTTGATCTCCTCCTTTTAAAAGTCTTTTTATTGAGGATCTGAATTTTTTTGATTAGTTTAGAATGAAGTGGTTGGAATTCACTTTTAATTCTTTNAATCAATAATCAGGCCTTAAAACAATAATGAGAGAAGCCTTCATTTGTAGGCTTAAAAAACTAAATTCTAATCAAAATATAATTTTAATAATCCTAATAACAATTAAACAATGAAATATGAAATATTCTAATCCTAATTAAACAAAGAAACAATGAAATAAAAGACTCAAACAAAATAGAGTTCCAAAATACTAATCCTTAATACAAACCTATTTTCCTACATCACTTTTTATTTGCAAAGTTTCTTAAATACCCTGCATATAATTAAGTCTTAACAGTATTGACCGTTAAATGTAGGTTTCAGAAGGTTTTGGAACATCTGTCTCTTTTTAATTTACTTTTGAAAATATGGTAACCCAAATGCTGATAGCCCCTAAAGTTAACTTAAAAACAATTAGACTTTTTTTCCTGCAGATATCTCTTTTAACAGTTCCTGCCATTGATTATAGAAGAGATTTTTTTTTCCCTAACCCTCTTGTTGCTGCATATATTGGTTTATGACCAATGGTTTTACCTTATGCACCACTTCGCAATGTCCAAGATTTTCTCCACCTCAACTTTCAGTAGTTGATCTCCTCCTTTTAAAAGTCTTTTTATTGAGGATCTGAATTTTTTTGATTAGTTTAGAATGAAGTGGTTGGAATTCACTTTTAATTCTTTATTCTTATCACTACATTAGTATTTCTTCATGTTCGATTAGTTTTTATTTACTTGGTTCTATATTTTAGTTTTTTTTATATAGAATATAAAATTTTAGATTTTATATTGTGAATAGCTTTGAACAATTTGGTTAGGTAAATGATATCATGACTTTTATTGATTGATGGAATTTGAGGCTTTTTATCGATGGATATACATTCTGCCAACAATTTAACTTCAAACCTCATACCTGACTTAAAAACTTGTAAGTGTTTAAAGAGTTATTTTTTAGTTCAAGCAGATATATTCTTGATAAAACACCCCTTTGTTTCAACTTTTGTCATTCTTTGACAAATTTGTTATTGATTCTTTCTTCATGCCAAAATGAACAATATAAAAACAAAATTTTTTATTTTTTTCATCATACACATCTCCTGAAATTCAGAAAAATAAGGATCCGAATCACATATCCTGCTCAGGGTTATAAAACCTAGCAAGATTCTCTATCTACCTAGACTAAGCCTATTTCAAAGTGATATCATTGTGACAAAGAAGCTATGAATAAGAGGATGTATAGGAATTTATAGGCGTAAAGCCATGTACACCTGATTTCTTTTGATTATCTTGAGGATTTGAAACACGATACCAACATCCTTTGTTTAGTTACCAAATTGATCTAATATAAAGAAATTCAAATGTGAAGTGATAAAAATAAAAGACTTAAAAAGTGCATTCCGGCTATCTCATTCTATGCCAATTAAAATATTTTGGGCATCCTCAATCAACTGACCTATAAAAAGGGGGCAACTAATGAAGTTGGGGGAAGAGGGAGACCAGAAAATTGTTAATTAAGGTAAAACCATTGGTTTGAACCAATATTTGCAGCAACAGCTCATGTCTGAAAATCAGACAGACAGGAAAGTAAATGAATTCGGAACTACTTAATCCTGTGTTTGTTCTGAGCTTCAAGAATTTTATACTCTGTGACAAGTAGATCATTTTATTTCTTTAGCTAAATTTTGTTTATGTAGTATACATTTGATGTCTTGTCATGCTGTATATATCTTATGAATTCTCTCCTGTTTGAGTTTATAATGAATGAATAAGCAGTTTGAATATATGAAGATTACAAGTTATCTCACAAAGATAACCAGAACCATCTCTTTGGGATTAACCTGTTCAGGTTTATACAATTCCTGTTGCCCCGGGTGATGTCATCGTTGCTGGAACGGATGGATTGTTTGACAACTTGTATAATAGTGAGGTCACTGCTGTTGTTGTTCACACAGTACGTGCTGGCTTAGGACCCCAAGTGACAGCTCAGAAGATAGCAGCTTTGGCACGTCAACGAGCACAGGATAGGAACAGGCAGACACCATTTTCAACTGCTGCTCAAGATGCTGGATTCCGCTATTATGGTGGCAAGCTTGATGACATAACTGTTGTTGTGTCTTACATAAGTAGCTCCGATAATGTCTGAGTCTGTTCAACAAAGTCATCGTGTCTATTATCGACCTTGTAGATGTTCTTATATTCTTTTTCGCTGACCAGTAGTGCTTGGGAGGCCATTAATCCTGTTCTATTTATGCCGAAATCTTGTTGAGCAAACTGTATTTCACAGTGCTTCATTACATTCATTTGATTATCCGAAGTTTTGATCTTCATTGGTATCACAGAACCTCTACTCCCTCCCCTCCGAATCCTTGTTTCTGCATCTGATCAAAATGTCGAGTGAAAGCTGGTCGAATTTGTGATTCAGAGTACTAAATGGCAGTTAGCTTAGGCTTGTTATGCGGCAGTTTTGAGATTGTATAGAACTTATTAGCATTTGTTCACTTCTATCCGTTTCAGTTTCAATCATTACACATCATATAAATCGTTTCAGCAATAGTTACTTGAAAGTTTTCAGTAGATCAACTGAAAGTAAGAGTCCACCAACCATTATAGACATGAATTATAATCACAAAACTTACTGCATTAAGCCATTAACAATAAGAAAACATGGGATCACTCAATTCATTACATCAACAACTTTAAAACCAAAAAGAAGAACACGGCATTAAAGAGTTTTATTCACGCACCGATATCCAAACCGATGGGGGCTCCACTTTGGAGTTTAGGGAACATGTATAAATCCTTCTAAGAACACATGTTTTAGAACTCTTCTCTGCCCAAGGCCACCTACATTGTCTTCTTGTTCTCTTCTCCAGGGTTCTTCTTCTTGTCCCTCTCCTCTTTGTCTTTTTTCTTCTTGTCTCCTGGCCTCTTCTTCCTCTCTCTTTGCTGCTTCTTCTCGTCTTCTCCTTTCTTCTTCATCTTCTTGTCTTTCTTTCTCTTTCTCTCTTCTTCTTTCTTCTTCCACCTCCTCTCTTTTCCTTTCTTCTTCTTGTCTTTGTTTCTCTTCCTCTTCCCTTCTTCTGTCTTCTTCTTCCCTCTCCCTTCTTTCCCTTTCTTCTTCTCTCTTTTTAGCTTCTTCCTCTTCCCTCTTTTTCTCCTCCTCTCTCTTTCTCGCTTCTTCTTCTTCTTCTCTCCTTTTGGCTTCCTCTTCTCTCGTTTTGGCTTCTTCTTCTTCTCTTCTTTTGGCTTCTTCCTCTTCTCTCTTTTTTTCTTCTTCCTCTCTTCTCTTTTTTTCTTTTTCCTCCCTCTTTTTCTCTTCTTCCTCTCTCTTCTTAGCTTCCTTTTCCTCCTTTTCCTTTTTAATTTCTTCCTCCATTATGCTCTCCTCTTCCTCAGCACATGATGTGCAATCTAATATGATTGAATCTGCCTGCTGCGCCAGAAGCTGATTAATTGTTGTGTTTGAGACATTGAAGGATACAGCCAGAACTCGGTTGTCTATTGTTTGAAGGACTGAGCTCTTTCCTGCTAGAAATTGAGGGTAATTTCTCCTTCTTGTTGTGCTGAACCCCATGAAAACAAATGAGTCATTGTTAAAAGACATCTGAGCCATGGGATGGAACCTAGGTACAGCAAAAACATCTCCTTCCTCCACCCTAAACCTCATGTTTTTGCAGCTTGACTTTTTTGCAGTGGTTGGACAAACCACCCGAACCATCCCTTGTCCATGTAGCACTACTGCTAACTCTGTAGCCATTGGATTCCAATGCGGTCCCATCATTGAACCCTTAAAAAACACATTCAGAATAATTGGAATTAGTAAATTAAATGTCGTGAAAGTTCAATTTTATATATGCTAGAAGAGTTAAGTCTATAACAAATTGATCAAACCAACCTTTGTCAAGTTCACCATGAAAATTCCAATGTTTGAGTCCTTTAACAAATTCAAGTCTTTCCTATCCACTGTCAGGCTCCACCCGTTACAATTCCTGAAATCTGGATCAGCATCAAGGATGTTAAATGTTTTAGTTTTCTTCTTCTTGCCGTTCATGGCATGCATGTTGACACCTCTGCCACCTACAAAGGCCTTCAGGAATCGAGTTTCAAATTCCCAAATGGTTGATTTCTTCTCCCCTGGCAAAGCATGAATCATAGGTGGTGGTCTTGTTGTATTTCTTAGTGCTTCTATCAAATCCTCAGGCACCTATTACTCATCACACCAAATTGCATTAACTGTGTCAGTACACCAACTGTAATGTGGGGAATTTAATTATGACTGTGATCGGGAATGGATTATGATTTTACCTTGAAAGCTGACTGCAAGACTTTATCATCAAATCCTAGGACCAGATCACTGATACTACTGTATGCGCCAATTGCGGATTCCTGCATTTGTATCAACGTATTAATTAAACAAAAAAAAAAAAAAGTATAATCGAAGATAACAAAACGATAGTGATTATAATAAGCAAGTTTTACAAATGATTCTTCATCTTTATTGGAAAAGATTGCATAGATCCTGAGCTTCTCTCGTTCCGGCTCCAAATCGCTCTCTATAAAGAAAACAGACCCTGGTTGCAGCCTATACACATCTCCTCTCTTGATATTCAACCTTCTTGTGTCCTTTTCATCAGCCCAACTCAGTCTCCCACTCCCTACACTCAACAAACGAAATTTTAACCACAGTCACTTACTGCTTCAATATTTTGTTAAGAATTTCAATTACTTTGGAATGAATTAATTATTAATCAATGAAATGAACCTACCTGTGTGGACATAGAACACCATGTCTGCATGGAGAAGTACAGGAAGAAAGAGAGAATTTGGCTCCAATGCGATGAAGTGCATATAATAAAGGCCTCTTGTTCCATCACTGATTCTAACTGCAGAAATCTCACCATATTCTGTCTCAACAAGAGACTTTCTCTCCCCTCTCTTCACCATAGACCCCAACTCTGAAGCACACTCATGATGATCATTTAAGGCTTCTACATTCAATAAAGATACAGAAAGAACAAGAAAGAAGCAGAATAGTGAGAGAGATCGAAGCAATAAAACCGAAGATCTGTTCAACATCTTTGCGATTTGCCTCTAAATGATTGTTAAGCTAGTGTCTATAAAGATGAAGAAGACGAGTTTTACGTGTCTTGCATGTAGACACGTGCATTTTCATGCAACGCGTGGCAAGTGATTGGCTATGCTCTTCCCGCTAAAAAACATATTTGTTAAGATTCTTTCTCTTCAATCGAGAGTGTAGATGTTGATTTGGTTTTTATTGTATATACTTATCTTAATATGTTGCGGGCTGGTCCAGTCGCTCTAATCAGACATACGGGCCGGTTACGGGCCCAAACTGTCCTTCTTAAGTGGACTTAGTAGAGGGCTCTATCAAAATAGGTTACTTGGGGTGTAGTTTAAAGCTAGGCCTATAGCGTTGTATACATAACTCTATTTTTTTTTTTTGGTTAATTGGGGTGTCCGGATCAGCTTACGCACACTTTAACTAATCCGTCAGAGTCTTAAAATTAATGACCCGATAAACACCTTAGTGGTCACCGCTATTAGCACCTGTAGGGATTCGAACTTATGAGCTCATAAAATCTCTTTTTATGCTTAACAATCGGCCACCCAGTCATATACATACTCGTATCAAGAGATGCCCATGCATTTTAACACATAAGTAACATATTTTTAATTTAATTAAAGTAAAACTATAATATAATTGTGTTATATCTATAATTAAAAGTAAAAAATTGATGATTCAAAAGAAAAATAATTAGAGAAGATTGGAATTATAGAAAAGAAATTGACTTTGTTTGTAAAGTTAAGGTTGGACCATATGAAGGTCCATGAGAAATGTTGATTAACTGGACCACCTGATTTATTCACGTCATAATCTCAAGTGGTACAGCCAGCAATACCAATTAATAATATACCTTTCATTATACACCACATAACATCTCATGTTTCTCATCTTGACAATTCCAACTCATATTGGTGGTCTTGTCCATTCAATACCCCAAAGAAAACACTATGCAAGTGCCACTCTTTAATCACTTTCAAACTAATCACATAAAATCACGAGCAATGCGACAGCCAATATTGCGTATCGAATCTGTGCACCGAATGATGTGGTAAAATCCTGATCGTTGATTTATTATCAGTTAATATTAATCAACGGTCAGGATTTTATCACGTCATTCGATGCATAGATTCAGTGCGCAACCTTCGGTGGCTTTATTATTTTTGTAAAATCACATCCATAACTGTTGTGGCTGCAAATACACCTATCCAAGTCCGAGTGGGTTATTCTATGATCTATCATGCATGTTCCAGAAATGATTTTGAATGAGAAAGGTTAAGGTTTTTTTTTTTTTTTTATAAATTTAATGATTGGATTGTCCAGGTCAGCTTACGCACACTTTAACTAATCTCATAGGATCCTGAAATTACTGATTAAATATGAGCTCTAATGATCATCCTTATTAATAACGTTAGGGACTTAGAACTCGGATTGTTAATGTTTAAAGTGTTATGAAGAGTAATTAGGACGTTGTTTTGTTTAGAATGTAAATAAAGAATCCAACGGTATAATAGCAAAGCAAATCAAACATATCCAAAGGATCGCCATTTTGGAAAAGGATGTAAAACAACAGAAGATAGAAGATCCGCCTACCACTACCAATATAAGAAGAACAATCAAAGATCAGCTCCACTGCTTTGTGTGTATATATATATATATATATTTTTTTTTTTTTTTGAAATTATTTTGTTTGGCTTTTTTCTTTTTTGATGAGTGGCTGTGGCTGTGTGTGTATAGAGACTTAACTTTACACTTAAATGATTTTAAATTAGAATCTCCACACCAACATTACCACCACCACCACCATCAACTTTTGTAAGCTACAAGCAAACTCCTCCCTTTTCCACCGCGTGCACTTGTAGCCTTAATTCCTAAGTATTTGACTTATTTTATTCTTCTTCTCTTAAAAAATACTTTTCCTTTCAACGTTAATCATGTCTTTTGCTAAAAATATATTTTTTATTTTTACTGCTAAAGATGTTAGCTTAATTAGTATAAATCGGATCTTTCTAGTGGATTTTTTCCTTTTCTTTTTGCATTGAACTTGTACAATATACTGTCGTTCTCAAATATCATGCTCAAAGTGGAAGAATATTATGTTTATTTGATTTTGTAGATAATTAAATAGAAATTTACGTAAAAGAGCAAAAAGAAGATCTAACATAATCTCTTATGTTCGAGTTCATTCGATGGTAAAAGAGCAAGTGAAAAATCTAACATAATCTCCAAAGAGAATGATCTAACATGGTCTTTAAAGTTTAAGTCTCCATGAAGATAGAAGAACAAGAGGAGGATTTAACATGATCTCCCGTGTTCGAGTCCCCACAGTTGTTGATAGAGGTAGTCATTGGAGCTCGTATCTGGTCAATAGTTCCAAGGTCTCGGGAGATTAATTAAGATGTGCGTAAACTGATCTGGACACCCCGATCATAAAAAATAAAAAAAAAAAATTGCATAAATATTCTTGTTTAAAAACTAATATTAGTGCCTCTTTGTAAAGCCTTTTAACTTCTTTTTGTACCTTATTATTATTAATTACCCTCCATTGACCATGGCATCAAAGAGGCTTTTGCATTGGCCTTTACACGTACTAGAACTAATGATGATATACTCAAAATAAAATTTTCATTGATTCCCTCTTATATTAAAGGATTGCCAACATTTAGATTTAGTAGCATTGGATCCCTTAAAAAAATGGGTTCACACCATATAACCATAAGATATTACTTTTAAAAAATATAAAGTATGCCACTAATTTATGCAAAAGTAGAGTATATTGATCATATTGAGCAATGACATAACATTATTTATGTAAGCTTGATTACGACACGAGTTTTACAACTCATTAATATAATTAAAATAAAGAGTAAACTATATATGTTTCTAGATATCGGATTTAATATCTCATAATTATTAATTAATTAAAATTTCTTGGCTGAGAGCCTGAGACTGAGAGTGAAAAGGGTTTAAAACATCTTTTTGTATGTGGGCAAGCTTTTATCTTAAAGGTGGAGATAGTTTGTTTCTTTCTAGTAAATAAATGGACGGATGGATTTTGATTTTATCATCCATCCATCAATCAATCAATCAATAATGCAAAATATGACCCTTCACCATTTCAAGATCAAAGGAACTTATTCTCTTCTTCCTTTCTCTCTCTCTTGTCGTGGCCATGGGCAAAGGCTATCCTACGTGGGCGTGTTTTTAACGCGCTGACTATACATGCATATCCGACAAAAGCCGTCCCAAGTGGGTCCCTAACAAAAGACGTATCCATCCAATCATATCACACTTCGGACAACCATGTGAATTTTTGGTGGGTCCTACTTTCAGCACACGTCAACAACAATTCTAAATAACCTTTTTTTAAAAGAAATTTTTTAACTTTTTTTTTTCTTTTTTTTTTTAATTTTTCGTGTGAACCGGTTGGTGATTCTTGAGTGAAGAGGTAGCGAGAGAAGATCAATTAAGATTTTTAGTGAATTATTTAAAATATTCTGATTTTCATCTTTTTAAGTTGTTAATAGGGATAATTACTTAAGAGATTTATTCTGATTATCAATTTTAATATCTAAAAAAATTAGTTGAATTATACATAAGTTAGTCCGAACACTCTCGATTATTAAAAAAATAAAAAAAAGATAAGGAGAGATTTGTAATTGAAACGTTTAGGTACCCCGTAACTTTTAGGGATGATCCAACGATGGATACTCGATCAACTCTTTTTCTCTTTAAGATGCATCTCACCTAAAAAAATCTTTTCTGTAAGCGTAAATTCAAGAGAATATTTCAGTAAAGATGTGAAATGGACCTGTTACTGTTAGGGTTGGGGTTTCTTTTTTGCATTATTTAGTAAAAGGAATAATATATTTTCATATCTTTCTATTTTAGTTTTTCGTAAGTTTAACATTATTTCTATTATACCCTATTTCTATTTGGTTAATTAATTAAGAAGTTTAATAAAGTAGGTTCTAAGACTGGTCCATACTGTGAAGGTGATGTGACTACAGGGAGAGGAGGTGGTGTCTCTTTCTTTTAGCTTTCTATTAGAACTTTAGCGGGGCCTGGTTATAATGGAGTTGGACCAATGGAACTTCAATGGAACTTTAACGCTCGCGCTTTGACTTGTTTGTCGTTTACTGCTTGAAAACTACATTTGTGGCTTCTATTAGGTTGGAACTCTATTATTTTTTAATTTAATTTGAATTATTTTTTCATTTCTATTTCTGAATTATTTTTTCATTTCTATTTCTGACTTATTTTTTTAGGGTTCTGAATCGTCCCCTGTTTCTTTCAATAGGGTTTGGGATAAACAGGGTCTCTTTAAAAGAAGACAAACCAGACCAGGGTGAATGGCGATCAAATTTGTTCGTATCTCTATCCTTCCTCCTGTATACTCTTGCATCATGTTTGCAATGGAATCATACAAAGTGTATTAAAATATATTTCAAGTGATTTGACAAAATCTACTAAAGTTATATGAAAGCATAAATACTAATTAAAAAGAGTAAACGACATATTCCCACCCAAGATTTGACGAAACTCTAACTTGGTATCCCATATTATATTTATTCCAGATTTTCATCCTTAAAGTGATAGAAAAATATTTGATGTAACAGTAAAGGGGTAAATTCATCATTTTACATGGGTGGCGTACGTTAGCAGATCGTTGCCTCTAACAATCCTCCGATGCACGTTAGTAGATGGTGTCCCCGATGTTTTTTGCCTTTTTTTGGCAATTCTTCCACCCAAAATCACCATTGTCACCACCATTTGAACCCTTATCCTCCCTTGTACAAAACCATACCTTTCACAAGCCCTCATCACTCGTTGATCGCTGGCCATGGCAGCTGCGACATGAGACTGGTTTTTGTCGGTTTTCAGCCGTTTTGAACGGTGACAACCCCAACCACCACCATCATTTAACTCCTCGCATCCTCCCCTACAAAATCCCTAACCTTCCCAGCCAGGGTAGCTCACCGTTT